GGGGAATTTGTTAGTTTGTCTTGGTTCTAACTATCCCTACCACCTGAGTGAGTCAGCTACAAACAGGATCATTCAATACAAACATGACTGCATAGGCACACTCATGCAGCAGAGTCTGTGGACAGCATTTCCAAAGAAGGAAGAGTAGGCTGGAAAAGTGCTGTACTCATTTTTCCTATAGAGCATCAACCTGTCCAGATTGAGTTGTCAGCTGAAGAGTGGTTATCTTGGAGAAATTTTTTCTTTGGGAGTTGAATATCTACACCAAGTTACACATATGAGAAGTAGTTGAAAAAGGTATTCTTAGTGTATGAAACCATCAGCCAACAAATATTTCTGAATACCTACTTTGCCAGATTTTGTGCTGGGTTCTGGTGCACATGTTGACACCTTAAACATAAACACGTGCACACTTGCTCTCTCTCCTTCTCCCTCTCTATCTCTGAGCTATTAAGATAAAAGAGAGTGAGTGACTATAGTAGACACATGTCAGATTCAGGCAAAGAATAGAAAAATTGACAGCTCTGGTATTCCTCAAATAAGAAAGAGATGGTTGGTGGATAATCACACCTTTAATCTACAAAGCTATTTTTCTTTCTTTTTTCATTCCTCCTTTCCACCCTCTCTTCTTCCTCTTCCCTCATTCCCTAGTTCTTTCCTTCCTTCATTTCCCTTTCTTTCTTTCTAGCTTTTAGCATAATAAAGCACCTTCTTGTAAACTATGCTTCTCTAATTTTGTCATTGAGTGGGGGGGGGGGGTGTTTTTTAAAATCTAAACTTCATTATATGAAAAATACATAGTTAAAACACATTTCCTATTTCTTAATCTTAATTTTTCTCTTCTTCTAGATTGCAGAAAAAACAGAACTCAAAATAGCAGAATCTCGAGAAGGCTATAGACCCATTGCTAAACATTCATCAGTATTATTCTTTAGCATTGCAGACCTGGCTAACATCGATCCCATGTACCAGTACTCTCTCACCTGGTTCGTGAACCTTTATATCAACTCTATTCATGACAGGTAAACGTTCTCTAGCTTCACTCATCCTTCTTATATTGGATTTTCACCATCCTTTCCATTAAAAAATAACTTTTTTCTTAATATTTATGTAATACATATTATTATAGAACATTTAAAACTATGGAAAAGTAAAAGAAAGAAAGAGGGATGGAGAAAGCAAGCCTCCATCCTATTTTAAATCCTACTTAAGATTTAGGCATACAGGGGCCAGCCCAGTAGCACAGCAGTTAAGTGCGCAAGTTCTGCTTCGCCGGCCCGGGGTTCACCAGTTCGGAACCCTGTGCAGACATGGCATCGCTCAGAAGGCCATGCTGTGTTAGGCATCCCACATATAAAGTGGAATAAGATGGGCTCAGGGCCAGTCTTCCTCAGCAAAAGAGAGGAGGATTGGCAGCAGTTAGCTCAGGGCTAATCTTCCTCAAAACAAAACAAAACAAAAACAAAAGATTTAGGTATACAGGGATTAGCTTTAGTCCTTTTCCCCTGTCTCTTTTAAATATTTCAATAAGGCACATGACTTATCTTTGCTGACAACGCCAATATATCTTTCTCCAGCCTTGAGGTCTCTAAAAAGCTTCAGTCCCACTGAGGCTAATAATTTGCCAGATATTTTCACTATAATCAATTAATGAATGTACACAGATTTTGGAGTCCTTAAATCTCAGTTGTGCCACTTACTAGCTGCATGAATAAAGGCAATTAACCTTTCTGTAATTGCCTCAATTTTTCTTATCTGTAAAATAGGGATAATACTACTACCTACCTTTTAGAGTTGTCCTGAGAACTTAAGATATTTGTAAAGTGTTCATAACAATGTCCGGTATTTAGTAACTGCTGTACTTTTTTTTTTCTTCTCCCTAAAGCCCCCCATTACATAGTTGTAAGTCCTTCTAGTTCTGCTATGTGGGATGCTGCCTCAACACAGCTTAATGAGCAGTGCTAGGTCCGTGCCCGGGATCCAAACCAGTGAAACCCTGGGCCACCAAAGCAGAGTGCAAGAACTTAACCTCTCGGCCACGGGGCAGACCCCATAACTATTGTACTTACTAAGTAGAATAAAAATATGATTTGAGACTACTATGTATTTTCTACATGGGCTCTTGGTAGAACAATCTTTCTTGAGTGACTCAAATCCCTGAGCTTTTCCAGTTGGGATTTGGAATTTGAATTTACGCAATCCATACAGTGAAGGAAATTCAAGTTGAGGAATTGACATAAATGTCAGTAATAAGTGTCAGCAAGGATGTAGAGTCACCAAAACCCTCATACACTGCTGGTGGGATTGTAAGATAGTGCAGCCACTTTGGAAACATTTTGGAAGTTACTCAAAAGATTAAATATAGATTTGCCATATGATCCAGCAATTCCAGCAAATCCAGCAATTCTTGGGCAGATACTGAAGAGAATTGATTGCATATGTCCACACAGAAACTTACAGTCATTTTGTTTTTAGACACAAAAAACCATATTCAAAAGTTACTTGGGTTAGTTTTTTACCCCCTTCAGTGTCGTGATGTTAACATGTGAAGTACAGTTAGGTTCATTTGTTTATTTTTGTATTTCATTTTAGGGTTGTCCCCTCATCCTTGTTGATTTTGATTTTATTATGTTTTTGAGCACATAAACCCTTAATATGACTCCAAAAGTAAATCCTGTACAAAGAGGTCCGCTTAGAGAAGTATCACTACTCCCTACCCTTCCATCCCACTCCCATGGACCCAAGTGTTACTTTTCCAAAGTAAACTTTTAATTTTGAGATAAATGTAGATTTACATGCAATTATAAGAAATAATAACAGCAATCTTGTGTACTCTTTACCCAGTTTCCCTAATGATGACATTTTGAAAATCTATAGTACAATATCACAGCCAGGATATTGATGTTGGTACAGTCAAGATCCAGAACACTTCCATCACCACAAGGATCCCCTTGTTGCCGTTCATAGCCACATCCACTTCCCTCCCATCCCCACCCTCTTCTGAACCCTTGGCAATCACTAATCTATTCTCTATGTTTGTAATTTTGTCATTTCAAGAATATTATACAAATGGAATCATACAGTATGTAACTTTTGCGGATTGGCTTTTTTCATGCAGCATAATTCTCTGGGGATTCCTTCAGGTTGTTGGGTATATCAATAGTTTGCTCCTTTTTATTGCTGAGAAGTATTTCATGATGTTGAGGTACTATGGTTTGTTTAATCATTCACCTGCTGAAGGACATCTGGGTTATTTCTAATTCTTTGGCTATTAGGAATAAAACTGCTATACACATGGATGTACAGGTTTTTGTGTGAACATGTTTTCATTTCACCGAGATAAATGCCCAGGGGTGCAATTGCTGAGTCATGTGGTAGTTGCTTGTTTATTTTTTTTAGAGTAACTGCTAAACTTTTCCAAAATGGGTGTATCATCTTACATTCCCATAGGGACTACTGAAAAAAAAACTGAACTAAAAAAATGAAAGCAATATATGCTTATTGCAAAATTTTTAAACATATAAGAGTATAAAGAAGAAAATAAATATGGGTCATAAACTCCACCAGAAGTAATCATTTTTGTCCATATGTTTTCTGACTTTTCATATATTTTTGAAATCTGTAGATCTTGACCTAGATTTTATGCTTCTTTGGGGCAGAAAAATGTTTCATAACTCTTTGTCTCTGACAGTTCCCTTCTCAGCATAGATCCTCACACTAATAGAGATTCAATAGGTGTTTTTAAATTAACTGATTGTTTTCAGTCATTTTGGAGTATAATAAGAAATTTAGAATTTTAAAAATAGAGAGATGGCCCACTAATTGGGAAAAAATATTTACAAGTTATTTATCCAACAAAGGGTTAATCTCCATAATATACAAAGAACTCACACAACTCAACAATAAAAAATCAAACAACCCAATTACAAAATGGGCAGGGGACATGAACAGACATTTCTCCAAAGAAGATATACAGATGGCCAATAGACACATGAAAAGATGCTCATCGTCACTAATCATCAGGGAAATGCAAATCAAAACTACACTAAGATATCACCTTACACCTGTTAGAATGGCAAAAATATCCAAAACCAAGAGTGACAAATGTTGGAGAGGCTGTGGAGAAAAGGGAATCCTCATACACTGTTGGTGGGAATGCAAACTGGTGCAGCCACTATGGAAAACAGTGTGGAGATTCCTCAAAAAGTTAAGAATAGAAATACCTTATGACCCAGCCATCCCACCACTGGGTGTCTATCCCAAGAACCTGAAATCAGCAATTCCAAAAGTCCCATGCACCCCTATGTTCATCGCAGCATTATTCACAATAGCCAAGTCACGGAACCATCCTAAGTGCCCAGCAACAGATGATTGGATAAAGAAGATATGGTGTGTGTATATATATATATATATATATATACACACAATGGAATACTACTCAGCCATAAAAAAGGACAAAGTCGTCCCATTCACAACAACATGGATAGACCTTGAGGGTATTATGTTGAGTGAAATAAGCCAGACAGAGAAAGACGAACTCTGTATGACTCCACTCATAGGTGGTAGTTAACATATGGACCAAAAGAACTGATCGGTGGTTACCAGGGGAAAGGGGGGTGGGGGGAGGGCACTAGGGGTGAAGTGATGTACCTACAACATGACTAATAATGATGTACAACTGTAATTTCACAAGGTTGTTAACTATCATAACTTTAATTAAAAAAAATAGAGATGGTGTAAACCATATTTCATTTTCTCATAGAATTATACCCTGGTTGTTAACATATAGATTCACAAGAAATCGCACACACAGAAAACTAACTGTACAGGGAGGTCCCACGTACCCTTCACCCAGTTTGTCCAGGGGTAATGTCTTGCATAACTATAGTACAATATCACAACCAGGAAATTCACATTGGTACAATCCAGAGAGCTTATTCAGATTTCACCAGTCTTACCTGCACCCATTTGTGTGTGAGTGTGTGTGTGTGTGTGTGTGTATGTGTGTGTGTGTAGTTTCATATGTCTAACAGTGGCTACTTTGATGAAATAAAAAGAACTTATATGTTGACTCAAATGTTAGTTATTTTTTCTTAGTTTTGTTTGACTCAATATATTTTCCTTTTTTTAAACCTTTCAGTAACAAATCCAAAATTTTGGAAAAGCGCCTACGATATTTAAATGATCACTTCACATACAACTTATATTGTAATATATGCCGATCACTATTTGAGAAGGACAAGCTTTTGTTTTCCTTTTTATTATGTGCCAATCTTCTTCTGTAAGTTACTTCCTTTTTAAAAATTTATTTCTCTTAAAAACCTACCTGGCAAATCTAATCTATAAAGATGACTTTTCACATAAGAATATCATGCTTTTGTTCTGCTTAATTCATGATTTTACTTGCATGTTTCTCTACAATAGTATTGGTGTTTTGATGTTTATTTGATTTTTAAAATTTAGATCATACAGAAGAATTCACAAAATATTCATGTACAGTTCAAGAAGTTCTTACAAAGCAAATTCCTGTGTAACTGCCACCCAGGTCAAGAAATAGGGCCTTTTCATATTGGCTTCTTTCATTTAATAATATGCATTTAAGGTCCTTCCTGTCTTTTCATGGCTTACTAGTTCATTTCTTTTTAGCACTGAAGAATATTCCATTGTCTGGATGTATCACAGTTTATTTATCTATTCAGCTACTGAAAGACATCTTGGTTGCTTCCAAGTTTTGAAAATTGTGAATAAATATTTGTGTGCAAGTTTTGTGTACAGATAAGTTTTAAAGTCATTTGGTTAAATACCAAGGAGTGTGATGGCTGAATCCTGTGTTAAGAGTAGGTTTAGTTTTGTAAGAAACTGTCTTCCAAAGTAGCTGTACCATTTTTCATTTTACCAACAATGAATGGAAGTTCCTCTTGCTCCACATCCTTGCCAGCATTTGGTCTTAAAGTGTTCCGGATTTTGACCATTCTAATAGATGCAGTGTTATCTCATTTTAATTTGCAATTTGCTAATGACGTATGATGTTGGGAATCTTTTCATATGCTTATTTGCCATCCTTATCTCTTCTTTGGTGAGGTGTCTGTTAGGTCTTTTTTCCATTTTTTAATTGGTTTGGTTGTTCATTTTTTATTGTTGAGTTGTATGACAGTGCTTTATCAGATATGTCTTTTGCAAATATTTTCTCCCAGTCTGTGGCTTGACTTCCCTCTTGACAGTGTCTTTTGCGGGGCAGAAGTTTTAAATTTTAATGAAGTCCTCTATATCAATTCTTTCTTTCATGGATCATGCCTTAGTGTTGTATGTAAAAAATTGTCACCATACATAAGGCCACCTAGATTTTCTCCTGTTATCTTCTGGGAATTTTATGGATTTGCTTTTTTTTTTTTCTGGTAAGGAAGATTCACCCTGAGCTAACATACATTACCAATCTTCCTCTTTTTACTTTTGCTTGAGGAAGATTAGCCCTGAGCTACCATCTGTGTCAGTCTTCCTCTACTTTGTATGTGAGATGCCTCCACAGCATGGCTGGTGAGTGGAGTAGGTCTGTGCCTGGAATCAGAACAAACAAACCTGGGCCACTGAAGCAAGCACTTGGAACTTTAACCACTAGGCCATGGGGCCGGCCCCCTATAGTTTTGCATTTTAAATTTAGGTCTGTGATCCATTTTGAGTTAATTTTTGTGAAGGATGTAAGGTCTCTGTCTCAGTTCATTTTTTTGCATGTGGATGTCCAGTTGTTCCAGCACCATTTGTTGAAAAGACCGTCTGTGTTCCATTGTACTGCCTTTACTCCTTTGTCAAAGATCAGTTCACTGTATTTATATTAACTGTATTTATATGGGTGTATTTACAGGTTCTTTATTCTGTATCATTGATCTATTTGTCTATTCTTTTCTCAGTACTACACTGTCTTGATTACTTGATATAGAAGTATATTTTATTAGCCTTATAGTAAGTCTTGAAGTCAAGTAGTGTCAGTCTTCCAACTTTGTTCTTCTCCTTCAATATTGTGTTGGCTTTTCTGGATCTTTTGCCTCTTTGTATGAAGTAAACTTTAAAATTAGTTTGTCAGTATCCACAAAATAATTTGCTAAGATGTTGATTGGGATTGTGTTGAATCCATAGATCAATTGACTGTATTTATGTGGGTCTATTTCTGGGCTCTGTGTTTTGTTCCACTGATCTATTCGTCTCTTCTCTTACCAATACCACACTGTCTTGATTACTGTAGCTTAGTAAGTCTTGAAGTCTAGTAATGTCACTTTTCCAGCTGTGTTCTTCTCCTTCAATATTGTGTTGACTGTTCTTGGTCTTTTGCCCCTCCCTATAAACTTTAGAATCAGTTTCTCAATTATACACAAAATAACTTGCTGAGATTTTGATCGGGATTGCATTGAATCTATAGATCAAATTGGGAAGAACTGAGACCTTGACAATATTGAGTCTCCTTATCCATGAACATGGAATATCTCTCCATTCATTTAATTCTTCTCTGATTTCTTTCATCACAGTTTTGTAGTTTTCCTTATATAGATCTTGTATACAATTTGTTACACCTAGGTATTTCTTAGTATTCTTTTTGGTGGCAATGCAAATGGTATTGTGTTTTTAATTTCAAATTCCACTTGTTTGTTACTGCTATATAGGAAAGTGACTGACTTTTTTTTTTTGAGGAAGATTAGCCCTGAGCTAACTACTGCCATTCTTCCTCTTTTTGCTGAGGAAGACTGGCCCTGAGCTAACATCTGTGCCCATCTTCCTCTACTTTATATGTGGGATGCCTACTACAGCATGGCTTTTGCCAAGCAGTGCCACGTCCACACCCAGGATCCGAACTGGTGAACCCCGGGCTGCTGAGAAGTGGAATGTGCGAACTTAACCTCTGTGCCACTGGGCCGGCCCCATGAATAACTTTTGAGTATTAACATTGTATCTTACAATCTTGCTATAATCACTTATTAGTTCCAGGAGTTTTTTGGTCAATTCTTTTGGGTTTTTCTACATAAACAATCATGTCATTTGCAAACAAAGTTTTATTTCCTTCTTTCTAAACTCTACATCTTTTATTTCTTTTTCTTATCTGATTGTACTAGTTAGGACTTATCGTATGATATCGAAAAGAAGTTGAGAGGGGACATCCTTGTCTTGTTTCCAATCTTAGTGGGAAAGTTTCTAGTTTCTCACCTTTGAGTATGATGTTAGCGATAGGTTTTTTGTAGATGTTCTTTATCAGGTTGAGGAAGTTCCTCTCTGTTCCTAGTTTGCCGAGAATTTTTATCATGAAAGGGTATTGGATTTTGTCAAGTGCTTTTTCTGCATCTACTGATATGATCATGTGATTTTCCTTCTTTAGCTTGTTGATGTGATAGACTACATTAACTGATTCGTGAATGTTGAACCAAGCTTGCATACCTGAGATAAATCCCACTTGGTTGTGGTGTATAATTCTATTTATACATTGTTGGATTCAATTTGCTAATATTTTGTTGAGGATTTTTGCATACATGTTCATAACACATATTAGTCTGTGGTTTCTTTTCTTGTAATGTCTTTGTCTAGTTTTGTATTAGGGTAATATTGGCCTTATAAAATGATTTAGAAAGTATTCCTTCTGCTATTTTCTGGAAGAGATTGCAAGGAATTTGTATAACTTCTTCCTAACTGTTCAGTAGAATTCTCCAGATCCCATCTTAGCATGGTGCTTACTGTTTTGGAAAGTTATTAATTATTGATCCAATTTCTTTAATAGATATAGGTCTGCTATGGACTGAATATTTGCGTCTCCTCCAAATTCATATATTGAAGCCCTGACTCCCAGTGTGCTTGTATTTAGAGATGGGGCCCTAAAGAAGTAATTCAGGTTAAATGAGGTCATTGCTGCCCTGATCTGAGGGGATTAATGTCCTTAAAAAAGAAAAGAGGGAGAGACACCAGAGCTCTCTCTCTCTCCGTGCATAAACAGAGAAAGGCCACGTGAGGACACAGTGAGAAGGTGGCTGTCTACTAGCCAAGAAAAGAGGCCTCGCCAAAAACCAAATGAGCCAGAACCTTGATCTTGGACTTCTAGTCTCCAGAACTTTGAGAAAATAAACTTTCATTATTTATTCAACCCAGCCTCTGGAATTTTGTTAAGGCAGCACAAGCAGACTAACACAAGTTCTATTCAGATTGTCTATTTATTTTTGTGTGAATTTTAGCAGGTTGTGTCTTCCAATGAATTGCTCCGTTTCTGCTAGGTTATCAAATTTGTGGGCATAGAGTTGTTTATAATATTCCTTTATTATCTTTTTAATGTCAATGCAATCAGTAGTGAAGCTTCCCTTTCATTTCTGATATTTGTAATTTGTGTCTTCCCTCTTTTTTTCTTAGTTAACCTAGCTACAGGTTTAACAATTTTATTGATCTTTTCAAAGAACAAGCCTTTGGTTTCATTGATTTTCTGTATTGATTTGCTTTTAATTTCATTGATTTCTGCTCTGATTTTTATTATTTCTTCACTTTTGCTTACTTTGGATTTAATTTGCTCTTCTTTTCTAGTGTCCTAAGGTGGAAGCCTAGATGATTGATTTTAGATCTTCTTTTCTAGTACATGCATTCAATGCTATAAATTTCCCTCTGAGTGTTGCTTTTGCTGCATCCCACAAATTTGGATAAGTTGTGTTTTCATTTTTATTTCATTCAAAATATTTTTTTATTTCTCTTGAGACTTCTTCTTTCACCTGTGTGTTATTTAGAAGTGTGTTGTTTAATTGCCAAGTGCAGTGGAATTTTTCCAGCTGTCTCTCTATTATTGATTTCTATTTTAATTCCATTATAGTCTGAGAGCATATTTTGTATGATTTCCTTTCTTTTAAATTTGTTAAGCTGTGTTTTATGGTTCAGAATTTGATCTATCTTGGTGAATGTTCCACATGAGATTGAGAAGAATGTGTATACTGACGTTGTTTGATAAAGTATGCTATAGATGTCAATTGTATTCAGTTGATTAGTGGTACTGTTTAGTTCAACTATGTCTTTACTGATTTTCTGCTCCAGCTTTCTTTTGATTAGTGTTAGCATGGTATATCTTTCTTCATCTCTTTTCTTTTAATCTATCTGTGTTTTTATAGTTAAAATGGGTCTCTTATAGACAACATATAGTTGGGTCTTATTTTTTGTGGCCACTCTGACAGTCTCTGTCTTTTAATTGATATATTGAAACCATTGATGTTTAAAATGATTATTAATATAGATGGAATGATATAGATGGATTATTGTCTACTATATGTGTTACTG